TTCTATTTCTTTGAGGTCTTTGGCTAATAAAATGTTAAATAAAGGAATAGAGGTCTCATATGTAACAGTATTAAGGCATTTGGAAGGGATCGGATATAAGAAAAATTTGCCAAGAGCCACCCTAATGCTAACAATAAGGCATAAAGAACATCATGTAGAGTGGGCACAAAATCATCTTAATGATAATTGGGGGAAAACCCTATTTTTGGATGAGACAGCTTTCCAGCTTTACCGAAACACAATTGAAAGGTGGTATAAGAATGTAAGACCCATTTGCCCAATGCCAAAAGATCGCACCAAAATTTTTGCTTGGGGTGGCTTTTGAATCCATGGAAAGACCAGTCTTTTTTGCTTCCGAGAAATTATGAATGCAGAATTTTATGTTGAAATATTGGAGGATCATCGCCCAGAGATCCAAAGAATGTTAGAGGATGATTGGCAGTTTCAACAGGATAATGATCTCAAACATACAAGCCGCTGAGCCAAAACATTTCTTCAAGAAAACTTTCCTGAAGTTATGGATTGGCCATCCAACAGTCCTGATTTAAACCCAATAGAAAATTTGTGGGCTATTGTTAAGAGGAATGTGGAGAAGAGAATGCCAAAAAATCTGGCAGAATTGGTGCAGTTTATGGCTGAGGAGTGGGATGCAATTCCTAATTCACTTCTAATTAGTTTAATTCATTCAATGAAATCAAGATGTGAACTGGTCATTGAAAATAATGGCGAAAGGATTTCTTATTAAAATATTATCAATAAAAATCATGATTTTAAGCTATCAAATGAGCCATTTTTCACACGAACTAATACAGTAGTTGTTTCACAATGTTCATTTAAAAATTTCCAATTTTTTTTGTAACACACTGTAAATCATTTCTGATTTATATGTTCATTTTCCGTAATCTATAATTTACTATTTTACAATACTCCAAATTCTAATGGGGGAGAGCCTGGATGTGTTTGAATATAAGCAATACCGAATTTAAAGAATGGTGTAATGAGCTTTGTTGTCATAATAATAAATTATGTAATGGAGAAGATTCAATAAATTGAAGAATTGTATTTGGGAGTTCTACTGTTATATATGTCATTTGTTGTGTATTAAATTTATAGTGATATTCAGCTCTTTGCTTTAATTCAAAAATAGGTGTCCCTAGTAAATATTTATTTGGTTCTAGTTTTTTTATTTTTTGAATTAGTATAGCATCTTGAAGGGAATAAAGGTTTGCACAATGATAGAATTGGGTATTGTATTTGTCATCTGTAATAATGTTGAATTGTGTATGATTGATGTTACATCCAGGACATGAGTAAATTGAAGGTGTACTCTTTGATGGAGATGTTTGCATGTTTAAATCATAATGTAACCAGTGTTCTATGACTATTGTGTTATTTATAGGATATTTTTTAACAATCCTTCCTATAATAGGTTGATTAATGATGCAATTCCATATGATAACCCATTCTTTAGATTGAGTGTTGATGTTTGGAATTGTGATTGTTGATCCTTTAAAATGTGTTGCTGGATAAATGTATGAAGGTTGGATTCTTCTTGAGATGTCTGGTGTCTGCAATATTTGATTCTCGATAATTTTAAACCATTGGGGTACCCGTGTTACTCTATTGTGTGTTGTGAAAGATTTTTCTGTGATGGTTTTCCATTCATTTAAAAATATTCCATCAATTGAGGATAACTGGTCTATAAACATAATAGAGTGTTTTTGTAATTGTTTCTTAAATTTATGAAAACCTTTTCCAAGGAATTGTCTAATATGTAATTTTCCTCCTTGGATGATATTCATATCTTGTTTCATGACCTGAAATGAGATTTCATGGATTTTGCATAGTGAAATCATCGAAGCAATAAATTTTTTAGAAAATTTTTTTCCTAAATGTTTGTAAGGCCATTCATGCAATGGTGAATATGATAGCCACTCTTGTTGTTGAAGTTGCTTGAGACGGATATTTGTAATTTTTCCAAGAAGATTTTTGTCATTGATTTGAATACAAAAATTTGTAATTTTTGCTTGGAGTTGTACTTCATATAAATCTCTATATTTGAAGATAAAATTGTTTTCTAATATTGCATTAGGTGCTGTTGATGATAAATGAATTTTGTGTTTAACCATGATTTTAGCTAAACGATTATTTAGAAGTCTGACCATAGCTTTACGTGTTGTATCGAGGAGTGTAATTGGTCGAGTGTTGTTGAGATCACATTCCCATTCTTTTGGTTTTGGTATGGGATAGATGTCAGCTTCTCTCCATGCATATGGAATTTCACTTAGATTTATACAAGCGCAAATGAATTTCCAAATGCATTCACTCATTTTAGAACCTAGATTTTTTAACATTTCATTTGTAATTCCAGAAGGTCCCGGAGCTTTATCATTAGGCAGTTGTGTTAATACATCTAACCATTCATTATAAGTGGGCTTTGTCATTAAGTATTTATATATAGTAGGATTAATTGCTGTTAGTGGTGTATATTGTTCTTTCCATTGGTCTGGTATTTCTTTTTGTGTGTGGGTTCCACCAGGACAGGTTTGAAAATGTTTGTTTGTTAAATATTTTATTTCAACTGGGTCAGTAATAAGAAATTGCTGACCATTTTGTTTTTTTCATTACTCTATCTATAACAATTCTTCTTTTATTTCTTTCAAAAAATGAATTGATCATATGACTTTGATTGTCTTTGTAATTTTCACAACGTTGACGGACAAATTTTTTTATTTGTTCTTCGTTCCA